TTCATTTTTTGTTTTTTTAGAATTGATGTACTTGAAAAAAAATTTGGGGTTGGTTTTGCTTTCTTTGGCTATCAATTTCTCATTTTCTAGTTTAGCCACTTTAATTGCCTTTTTGCAAGCATTATTGGCTTCCTTATATCTTATATAGAATGCCTCTAATTTGTCCGATTTAAATGCTTTAAATGCCCTTTTCTTATTTTTAATCTCTTGTTTTACATCTCTACTAAGCCACACTGGTTTTAATTTGTTTCTTTTATATTTATTACCCAATGGTACATACTGAGAAATGTACCTTTCTAATATTTGTTTGAATAGTTTCCATTTATCCTTAGTGTTTTTATCACTAAGGAGTATATGCCAGTCTATATGTTGTAGAGCTGCCCTAATCTTATTGAAATTGGCTTTAAAAAATTATACGTTTTAGTATACCCCACGTGCTTTTGCTTTTTAAAGTTTATTTAAAAAATTACCATATTGTGATCACTATTTCCCAAATGCTGCCCCACTTGAATGTTGGTTAAAAGATCAACATTGTTTGTTATAACGAGATCCAGACAAGCATCCTTTCTAGTTGGTGCTTGTACCAGTTGTGACATAAAGGTGTCATTTAACACATTCAAAAACCTGATTCCCCTTGCTGAAGTACTAGTCCCTCTATCCCAATTTATGTCCGGGTAATTAAAATCTCCAATAATTAACGTGTTACCCCGATTTGCAGCTTTCCCAATTTGCTCTAACAGCTGTTCTTCCTCATTAATATTTACATTAGGTGGTTTATAACATATCCCAACCAATAATTGATTTACCTTTGTTTGCCCCAAGCAGATATCTACCCATAAAGCTTCCACATTTTCCTCGTCACACTCCACATGCCTGAGATTTGACTTTAACTCATGGTTGACATATAAACATACCCCACCACCCTTCTTGTCTTTCCTATCCTTCCTAAATAACGTGTACCCATTTAAGTTAACTGTCCAGTCATGTGTCTCATCCCACCATGTTTCTGTTATGCCTATTATATCATATTGTTTAGTGCATGCTATTGCCTCTAGTTCCCCCATTTTGTTATATAGGCTCCTTTGCATTAGTAAGTATACATTTAATAGTATCATGAGTCATTTGTACTTTTTTGTGAATTATCAATATTACATACCTCCTCTGTTCTGAGCTTTCCAGTCCCCCATCTCCTTCCATTTTGTTCTGAGCTAAAACCCATCTCCTTTCTATCCTATCTCCATTTTCTAGATTGCTTTGACCCTCCCCCCTACTGCTAGTTTAAAATATCCTCCAAACTTCTAGCCATCCTATCCCCCAGCACAGCAGACCCTCTTCTGTTTAGGTGCAATCCATCACGACTATACAGGTTGTACCCAGGTGCAAAATCGTCCCAGTGCTCTAAAAACCCCAAACCCTCTTTCCTGCACCAAGACTTCACACATTGACCTCTCTAATCTTCTGAAAATATTACCTTGGAGGTCCTTTTCTTTAGCTTTCATCCTAGTTCCCTGAACTCATTTTTTAGGACCTTCCATTTTCCTCTGACTTTGTCATTGGTACCAATATGGACCATGACAGCTGGGTCATCCACAGCCCCTCCCAATTTGATTCAATCAATGTAGTTTTAAGGTAATTGGAAAGGTAATGGTCTGGTTTAGTTTTGAATGGGTGACATTACTTTAAATATTTCCAGTATTCTGTTACTATCTAGTGTCACCAGCAATGGAAAAAAATATTGCTATATGGCAAAAATTTTTATTGTTGAAGAGGTGGTCCAAAGTCAGATGTATCACTTCTCTTTCTTCCCCCCCCCAAAAGTTTTGTTGATCACTATTTTTATGTGTCTTTTAGTACTTTAGTACATTTGTGTATTTCTGTTTCTTTTACGTCTTCTTTTACGTGTGTAGCAAATAATTAGTCCTGCCACAGACACAAAAATGATGCACACCGAAACAATGATTGCTTCTTTTTTTCCTGAAAATAAAAATGTGACATTGACATAAATAAATGGGCTCACATAATTTCCAATAAAATCACAGTAAACATAGTTTTAAAGTAGCAACTATTGTTATATTATTATTCATTGTAGTAGCAATATTTAGACTAATGCTTCCTCATTAGCAGCACAGAAAAGACAGGCTGCATGGGACTTGCATTTAGTATTAAAACATTAAAAATTGGATTGACACTGAAGTACGGTGCCAGGGCTCTCCAAACACTAAAACCACTGAGAGGAAGCAGTTACTGTGACTAGCGTGTCCCTTTAAATAAGGGTTGCTGGATAGGATTAAGCCAGATGATAGATGAAGGCGGTTGGCAGTGAGGATGGAAATGGATGGTATGTGCCTATTAGTGAGGATGGCAAAAGAGAGCTTTGCAGGTGAGTTTAAAATTAATCAGTCATTATAAGGACTAAGAAGGGGAAGAGTTGCATTAATAATGGATTGCAACTTGTTAATCTAAGAATGTCTAAGGCAGTTGAACAGTGACATGATTTCAATATTGATTGGATGAAGCAATGAAGGAAATTACTCCACTGGAGCCAGCTTGTGGGAGTGCTGAAAGGGAGAAAAGTTCTGGCATTTCAGGAACCAGCCAGACACACATTTAAAGACAAAAGAGGTGTGGTTTGGGGCCCATGTGCAGAGCTTTAGGGTATAACAGCAGGAAGAGGTAGTAGAGTGGAAGAAATATCTGTAAATAAAAGCTGAACAAACAATGGGAGAGGTAAGAAGGGAACCAAAACACCAGTACGAAAGAAAAATAAATGACCACACTACAAAAGACTACAAAGAGTAGTGACCTTAAGAATGAGTAATTAAAGTTAAATATTCACATTTTATGGAAGACTGCATTGGAATTTAATTTTATGATGATATATGCATTCAGCACAGTGAACAGGGGAAGTATACCAAGTTTAGCAAAGTTTCAATACAGAAATTAGAAGGGAATGCTTGGGTTCCTGCGGCAATTGTTGTTGTATTAATCTTAATTCGCACCCGCTACAGCAGAAGAGTTTTCTGCTCTGCTCCGGTCCTCCCACCCCACCACCAGCCTCCTTGATCCTATTCCCTCTCACCTCATCCGTACTCTGTCTCCTTCGCTTGATCTGTCTCTCACTACAATTCTCAATCTCTCCCTCTCCTCTGGCATATTTCCATCAGCCTTCAAACATGCAAATGTAACCCCGATTCTAAAAAAGCCCAACCTTGACCCTAACTCTGTCCAACTACCGCCCTATCTCGCTACTGCTTTTTCATCCAAGATCCTTGAAAGACTTGTGTATGTGAGATTGACAGACTTCCTTGAGTCCAACTCTCAGCTCGACCCACTTCAGCACTCTGTGGAAACAGCTCTGACCAAAGTATCAAACTATCTACTCGCTGCAAAATCTTGTGGTCACTATTCTATCATAATTCTCCTCAACCTTTCCGCTGCTTTTGACACTGTGGATCATCAACAGCTTCTTCTCATCCTCTGTAATCTCGGTGCTCCTCCTACCTCTCCCAGCGCTCTTTTAGGGTTTCTTTCTCTGGCTCTGCATCTTCCCAATCCCTCTCTGTTGGTGTCCCCCAAGGTTCAGTCCTTGGTCCCCTACTGTTCTCGATCTATACGGCCTCCCTTGGTAAACTCATCAGCTCCTTTGGTTTCCAATATCACTTCTATGTGGATGATACACAAATCTATCTGTCCTCTCCTGATCTCTCATCACCCTTCTTGACTATTGTCACTTTCATAACCTCAATTTGTCCAAAACAGAACTTCTGGTCTTCCCTCCCTCAAATGTTGTTACTTCCGTTTCACTCCCCTCCACATTATTGGCGCTACCATCAGCTCCACCACGCAGGCTCGTTGCCTTGGTTTTCTCTTTGACCTCTCCTTCTCCCTTCATGTCTAGTCGATCACCAAATCCTGCCGCTTCCATCTCAAAATCTTTGTGTGCCATCTCCCCTACTTAACACCAGATACAGCTAAGGTGCTGGTCCCTACCACTGTCCTCTCTTGCCTTGACTACTGAAATCTACTTCTCAGTGGTCTTACGTGCTCCCAACTTGCCCCATTACAGTTTATAATTAATGCAACGGCAAGGCTCATCTTCCTGTCTGCCCACACCTCCCTCTTCCAAACCCTGAATTGGCTTCCCGTAAGATATAGGGCTCAATTTAAAATTCTGCTGTGTGCCTTTGTGGGCTGGTGGGCATCTAACCCCCCCCCCCTCCACCCCCACACACACACACACAATCCCTCCAGACATATTAACACACACACATACAGCACACTCACACTAACAGCACCCTCAGACACAGCACCCTCAGACACAGCACCCTCACACACACACTAACAGCACCCACACACACAGCACACTAACACTAACAGCACCCTCAGACACAACACCCTCACACACACACACATAACCCTCAGATACACACACAGCACACTCACACTAACAGCACACTCACAGCACCCTCAGACACACACATCACCCCCACCATCACACTCAAACTAACAGCACACTTACACAAACAGCACACTTACACAAACAGCACACTTACACACACAGCACACTCACACTAACAGCACACTCACACTAACAGCACACTCAGACACAGCACTTTCAGACACACACAGCACCAGACACACACACAGCACACTCACACACAGCAACCTCACACACAGCACCTCACACACAGCACCCTCACACACACACAGCACCCCCCCACACACACAAACACACACAGCACCCTCACACTAACAGCACACTTACCAACACAGCACCCTCAAACACACAGCACCCTCACACACACACACACACACACACACACAGGTATAATATATAAAATAACCATCAGTGAGTTAACAGACAAAGAAAATTAGATATATAGAATAGAATGTGATGGCAGATAAGAACTTTTGACATTGAAATTATTATTATTATTATTGTTATTATATAGCACCAGGGCCGGACTGGGGAAAAAATTTGGCCAGGGCATTTTTCAATCACAGCGCCCCCCTGAGAAGGGGACGGGGCCAGAGAGAGGATGGGGCCTCTCTTGGCCCTGTCCCCTTCTCAGGGGGGCACTGTGATTGAAAAATGCCCTGGCCAAATTTTTTTCCTAGTCCGGCCCTGGTGCCATATAATAACAATAATAATAATAATAATAATAATTTCAATGTCAAAAGTTGCCTGTACACTGTCCCAAATCCCACTGCATATTTAAGTAACAGAGATGATTGTCTTGATGTTGGCAGAAAAGCACATTATTGACAATTCTAGTGATAATAAAATGATCTGTTATTTAAATGAACACTGGAAATTGGGAAAGTGCAGAGGTAACTTTATTTCTAAATAATTACTTACTACTATTGGAAAGACTTACCTGGACTCGTAATGTGAGAGACAGTGAGGGATGTCATATTAATATGCACCCCGTTTGTCTGTATGATCGTACACAAATATTCCCCACTATCTTCTTCCGTCAGGTGCATTATATTAAAGCTATATTTTCCACTGTTTTGCTCTAGCCTGTGTGTATAAGTATCAGCGATTTTCAAAGTCTTTGATAAGTCCATTGATGCTATTTCTGTTTCTGTTGATCTTTTCCTCCATGACCATTTGACTGTGAAGTTTTGTTTTTGTATAGCTTGACACATTTCACATCCAAGTATAACACTAGCTCCTTCCGTCACATTAAGTTCTGAAATATAATAAGGAATAATAAGTTTGCTTTTTTTTCCTTATCATTATATAAATCAAAATAACCACTTTACCAATAGTTAGATTTCCACTGACTTTTTCAATATATTAGCCATGATGATTGTCATCATTTAGTGATGCCTTGACATCATCGCCACAATAAATACTGCCAAAGCCATCATGGTCCGATCAGCCATGAAGAGAACTAGTGGGAGGAGGAGGATGCAGAGGCTGGTCAAAGGTACTAGCAGAAAACACATAGCAGCAGCAAGGAGAGTGATGAGAGCAGCAGTTCCAGTAGCAGCCAGTACTCAGGTAAGTGTAAATTGCAATGTGGGGTATGGATGCCAAGTGGAGCGCATTGAGCATTGTAAAGGAGGGGCGGAAGGCTCCAAAAAAGGGTAATTGATTACATTTGTATGAGGACTTAACAAAAAAGGGTTATAAGGAGCAATACAAATGGGGGGACATAAACACGAGGACCAGATGTGATATGATGAGATGTTGTATGTCTGTTGGGATGTATGCCAAATGGTGGTAAAGAGCAAAGAAAGGGAGAAATTATAATTGAAAAAAAAATGTAGAAAGGGAATTGTACAAAAACTACGGGTAGAAGTATGAATGGAAGAGGGGTGGGTTAGACATATTGGCTGGAGGTTAAATATATGTGGAGGGATGGTGAACAAAAATCAGGGCTATTTGGGCAATGTAACAGGGAGGAGGCATAAACAAAGCCTCCCCCCACACATTCACACTCCTACAGTCACCCTTCACAATCACCTCCTCCAACATCTGACCTGTAATAAGAATTTAAAATAAGCAAGGATTTGAAAAGACTTAGGCTTACACACTAAAGCAAGGAGTAACAGGACAAGTAAAAAAAACATATTTAGGCCAGAATAGGAAAATCAAGTTAGTATTTGAATCCACTTTAATTTTCCAAGGAATTCACACTTCAGTGTCTTGAGTGACAAAATGTCATACGGTCCATTACATTGAAAAACAAAAAGAAACAAAAATGCTGTGACATTGATGTGGATGTCTGGAACAAATAGGGACAAGCTTAAAGGGATACTATAGTCACCAAAACAACTTTTGCTTAATGAAACATTTTAGTGTATAGATGATGCCTCTGAAATCTCACTGGGCAATTATCTGCCATTAAAGAGATAAATCACGTTCCCCTGGTTGTGATTGACACAGCCTGCGTGAAAACAAAATGGTTTCAATTTCAATCACTTGTCAACTTACTTCACCAAAACAACTTTAGCTTAATGAAACAGTTTTGGTGTATAGCTCATGCTACTGCAGTTTTACTGTTTAATTCTCTGCCAATTAGAAGTTAATTCACTTTGTCTATGCAGCTCTAGTCACACCTCTTTGCATGTGACTTGCACAACCTTCCAAAACACTTCCTGTAAAGAGTCATCTAATGTTTATACTTTATTGAAAATCCTGTTTAATTTAGAATTTAATACATGAAGTATGCAAATGTGGTCTGATTGCTACACCTATCAGCAATAAGAATCACACTGCTCCAGACCTTTAAATTCCCTGCTTGAAAATGGTTGTGAGAGCATCACGTTCTGAGGAAGCTGGGCAGACTGGAGAAACGCGTTGATGTCATTCGTGGGGGCGGAGACTTCAGGAGCTCAGAGGAAATACTCTCATGCCATTTGTGTTGTACTGAAACAGGATCATTACATCTCAGACATTTAAACGATCTAGAGCCAGCGTCTCCAGCATTACCACCTTGGCAGTGAGTAACGGCGTATGCCCAGCCTACTTACCACGTCCTCTTGTAAGAGACAGTGTGTTTGCTTTTTATTACCACTAAGATTTTTTTTTACTAATAAATGTGTTTGCACTTTGTTTAAATACAACTGAGCTTTTTCACTATTTAGCTTGAACCAGATTTCCTTAACCAAACTACTTGGGTACGTTTGTGGGAATCTTGGTATATCAACATAGGATGTTAAAAGCATTATTGTTCTAAGATAGTCTGCACTATTATGTGTATTTATGTATTTTTAGCTACATGCACTGTGAGATGTGTTGACCTGTGGCCATCTACTGACCATTGAGTATTACAAGAACCTTTTTTTTTTTTTTACATTTTTACCATCCTTACTTGGCTTTCGGTTATCACCTAAATGTTTATTCCACTATACTGCTCCACTCTTTTTTATATTTTCTTTGTGTATACAGTTTCAGTCACTCCTCCCTGCATGTGACTTGCAAGGCCTGCTAAACACTTCCTGTAAAGAATCATCTAATGTTTTTATTTTTTTATTGTAAATTCAGTTCAATTTAAAATGTGTTATCCTGTATGTAATTTAAATGACACTATAGTCACCAAAACAACTTTCGCTTAATGAAGCAGTTTGGGTGTATAGATCATTCCTCTAAAGTATAATTACTCAATTCTCTCCCATTTAAGAGTTAAATCGCTTTTGTTTCTGTTTATGCAGCCCTAGTCACACCTACCCTGGCTGTGACTGACACAGCCTGCATGAAAATGGTTTCACTTTCAGTTAAATAGTAACTTACTTTGAATTTTTTTTATCTCCTGCTCTCTAAATTGAACTTGAATCACACTGTTGGGTCTAGCAAGCTATTAACAGAGCAGGAGATAAATTCTAAATTAAACAGAATTTTCAATAAAGTATAAACATTAAACAACTCTTTATAGGAAGCGTTTTGGAAGGCTGTGCAAGTCACATGCAAAGAGGTATAAACATTAGAGGTGCTGTTTGCAATATTATAATTAGCATTCCCAGGCTCCACTCATATGTTTCAGCTAGGAGGGGACCATAGGTCTTTCCAATTCATTTTATTTAATAGCCCCAATCCACTAGTCACGCGTGGGGGCATGCGGGGGGCACTATGTTCCCCGGCTTTTTATTTATTTATAGTCCTAATGTGGGCACAAGGGCCACTTTGGTATTTATATGTAGGCTTTATTGTATTTGTGACTTGGCAGCAATAGCTGCCTCATCGCTAGTCTTTTATGACAGTGAGCCACCAGAGGCCAGTAGACATGCAGCCAGTATATATGCCATATCCATGATTTAATGTTTTTTTTCAACCTTTCTTATACTAAGATGGGGATCATATTAATCCCCATATGTTTTTATTACACACATAAACGTGCATAGTAATTAAAATGATTTAATTACAAGGAGGGAGCATATAAGTAATTTAGACAAATAACATATGAACAAGGTACATCAAAATCACATATTTTGTTCAAATTGCAAATAAATAATTGCCTGAAATTCGGATGAGTTTGCATTCAGTCAAAAATGAATGTCCAAATCTAGAAAATTGCAAATAGTAAAAATTGACTTAATTGCATAAGTATTATTCAAATAATGCAAACACACACTTCAAAATAGCAGGTATATTCTAAAAGTAAGAAATATCTTTGGCACAGTAATATTGTACATTGTACACAGTAGTATTGTTTTATCACTAGATATACTTACTTGCCATTTCCCAGGATCCTGTCCAGCTTCTATTTAGATTTGCATGGTACATTAGGCACTCCAGTGTATCTGTAATATTTTCAATCTCAAAAGAGCTCCCCGAAGCTAATCTAATGTTGTTCTTATACCATACTATGTCAAGTGCTTTATCTGGAATAATATTCTTAGCAGTGCAGTTTAAATACATCTTTCCACTGTTGTCTGATATATACTCAATTGATTGTTGTTCAAATGCTGCAAAAAAATAAGAAATAAATGTTTTTGGTTTTATTGTTTCACCACAAAAAGATATTTACTAGACTGTGCTAAACAAAAATACTTCTGATAACAGTAAAACTGCTCCATAATGCCACTTCATATTTAACAGATGATGGAAATCCTACACAGTGTGAATTCTCTTCAGTGCCTCATCAAAGAGCAATGCTTCTAGCTGCTCCCTGCTGTGGCACTTAAAGCGGTTCTGTCACCTTTTTGCATATTTTCCTTGGGGGTGCAGTAAAGATGAGTTATACTTACCTGATGCTGTTCCCTGCAGGTGCCACCATCTTTGATCTTCAGTTCCTGGTGCCTCATCTGCCAGGAGTTTGTCACGGGAGTCGTACCCCTACATGCAGGAAAGAGGAAACCCACAAAAGGTGGATCCGAAAGACGTATTACCGAGTCTTAGAAGGGCCGGACTTGACATATTAATATAGCGAGAGACAAGGTCGAGAATAGAGCAAGGTCAGAAATACAGAAATACAGTCAACACAAAGTTGGGTCAGGATACCAGAAAATCACGAGTCAAATACGAAGCCGGGTCAGGATACCAGAAATCTCAAATAAATACAAAGCCAAGGTCAGGATACCAGAAATCACAAGTCAGATAGAAAGCCGAGGTCAGGATACCCAAAAAATCAT